AGGGGCTGTTTTACTGGCCTGTAGACATTGATATAAATGTTGTCGTGCTATCCCCCTGTAGGGGCTGTTTTACTGGCCTGTAGACATTGATATAAATGCTGTCTTGCTATTCCTCTGTAGAGGCTGTTGTGCTGACTTGTAGATATTGATATTAATGTTGTCGTGATATTACCCTGTAGGGGCTGTTATACTGACCTGTGGACCCGGATGGGTATATTTTGAAGATCACTGCTACTGGTTTTCCCGTGACGCGACCAGCTGGCCAGACGCTAGAGTGAGTATACCAAAACTTTATTGTACGATTGTTCCAAAGGAGGACCGAATTGAGCTGATCACGGCACAAAGTCATAATTTCATTATTTTTTTATTTTTATTAAGGTAATTGATAGATCACTACGCTACTTACTATACAAATGATATGTAAACGCCTGTTTGAGGTCAGTCTTTGTTTTCTGTTTTTGTTTTTCAAGTTTACTTGGTGACCCTATTGTGTAAATGACATTGATTAAATCGGCCTCTGTTATTTTCTAACTGAACTCGATATGATGTACTACTAAGCTACGGACAAGGTGAAAAGGGATCAGTTCATATCTCCTACGTTACTATAATGCAGACAGCAGCCTAAAACAGATTACTTATCTATGTATAACGGATTGTTTGTTGACGTACCTCAGACGGGTAGGTAGATCCCTCTGACAGACAGGTAGGTAGATCCCTCTGACAGACAGGTAGGTAGATCCCTCTGACAAACAGGTAAGTAGATCCCTCTCACATACGGGTAAGTATATCCCTCTCACAGACGGGTAAGTAGATCCCCTTACAGACGGGTAGGAAGATCCCTCTCACAGACGGGTAAGTGGATCCCTCTCAATGACGGGTGAGTAGATCCCTCTCACAGACGGGTTGGTAGATCCCTCTCACAGACGAGTAAGTATATCCCTCTCACTGACGGGTAAGTAGATCCCTCTCACAAACGGGTAGGTAGGTCCCACANGTAAGTAGATCCCCTTACAGACGGGTAGGAAGATCCCTCTCACAGACGGGTAAGTGGATCCCTCTCAATGACGGGTGAGTAGATCCCTCTCACAGACGGGTTGGTAGATCCCTCTCACAGACGAGTAAGTATATCCCTCTCACTGACGGGTAAGTAGATCCCTCTCACAAACGGGTAGGTAGATCCCTCTCACTGACGGGTTGGTAGATCCCTCTCACAGACGGGTAAGTATATCCCTCTCACTGACGGGTAAGTAGATCCCTCTCACAAACGGGTAATTAGATCCCTCTCACAGACAGGTAGGTAGACCCCTCTCACTGACGGGTTTGTAGATCCCTCTCACAGACAGGTAGGTAGATCCCTATGACAGACGGGTAAGTAGATCCATCTCACAGACGGGTAAGTCCCTCTCACAGACGGGTAAATATATCCCTCTCACAGACGGGTAAATATATCCCTCTCACAGACGGGTAAGTCCCTCTCACAGACGGGTAGGTAGAGCCCTCTCACTGACGGGTTAGTAGATCCCTCTCACATACGGGTAGGTAGATCCCTATCACTGACGGGTAATTAGACCCCTCTCACAGACGGGTAGGTAGAGCCCTCTCACTGACGGGTTGGGAGATCCCTCTCACAGACAGGTAGGTAGATCCCTCTCACTGACGGGTAATTAGATCCCTCTCACAGACGGGTAAGTATATCCCTCTCACCGATGGATAGGTAGATCCCTCTCACTGACGGGTAAGTAGATCCCTCTCACAGACGGGTAAGTAGATCTCTCTGACAGACGGGTAGGTAGATCCCTCTCACAGACGGGTAAGTAGATCCCTCTCACTGACGGGTAAGTAGATCCCTCTCACAAACGGGAAGGTAGATCCCTCTGACAGACGGGTAATTAGATCCCTCTCACAGACGGGTAAGTATATCCCTCTCACCGATGGATAGGTAGATCCCTCTCACTGACGGGTAAGTAGATCCCTCTCACAGACGGGTAAGTAGATCTCTCTGACAGACGGGTAGGTAGATCCCTCTCACAGACGGGTAAGTAGATCCCTCTCACTGACGGGTAAGTAGATCCCTCTCACAAACGGGAAGGTAGATCCCTCTGACAGACGGGTAGGTAGATCCCTCTCACAGACGGATAGGTAGATCCCTCTGACAGACGGGTAGGTAGATTCCTCTGACAGACAGGTGAGTAGATCCCTCTCACAGACGGGTAAGTAGATTCCTCTCACAGACGGGTAAGTAGATCCCTCTCACAGACGGGTAAGTAGATCCCTTTCACTGACGGGTAGGTAGATCCCTCTCACAGACGGGTATGTAGATCCCTCTCACAGACAGGTGAGTAGATCCCTCTCACAGACGGGTAAGTAGATCCCTCTCACAGACGGGTAAGTAGATCCCTCTCACAGACGGGTAAGTAGAT